CTTTCAAACAAACATTTAAATAACACACAAACAAAAATTTATCAATGTATTTAATATTAAACTGATGGTAGCCTTTTTGTTTTAGTACTTTATTAGGAATGTTGATTCTTTGATAATGATTTAGCACTTTTTAAGATAATCATATTAAATATGGAAGTTTAACGGTCCTAACTTACATTTTTTACAAACATAAAAGAATTTATTTATCAAATGTTCTTTAAGAGATTGATTTTGGATGAGAATATTGATGAGAAACAACAAAAAAAAACAAATTTAATACACAACTAAAATAATAAATTGACAATATTCTGTATTTAACCAAAGCTCAAGCAGAAAATCCTATTTTATTGGACAGTTATTATAAAATAATGTTAAATACACGCATCATTTCATATTTTTACCTTTTCTTTCTAATGTGTATGGTCTTGGATGTTGTACCGAATAAGACACTACTCGGTCTTACTTACAGAAAAAGGGAATCGAGTACCCCATCGGTCAAGATAAGCTGAATACCCTCTCGGCCATGATTAAAGGTAATTAACCCAATCAAGGGAAATAATCAAATTATTATCTACCCTAATTAAAGGACCAAAACCAAGGTTGACTTAGCAAGCTCATCCCATAATATTTTCTATAAAAGAAAGGTAAGAGGTACAGGTAAAGGGTTGACTTTTAAATATTTAATAGTATTTACTGCTCAGAACCAAGACTTGACTTCAGCATTGGAGTGTCTTTTACAGGTACCTTCCCCACGTCAGCAACGTACAGAAGGGCGTCATCCTACCTAGGCAGAAATTAGAAGATTAGTGTTTTCCTAACAGGAATATTTTGGCGCCCATCGTAGGGCTCGAACCCACAACCACAAGGTTAAGAACCTTCCTTTTTCAATCATCATGGTACTAACAAGAAGCCAACAAGATGGACAAATCAGCATGGAGAAACTTCTCATTAGCAAGAAGATACCACACCCAACCAGCTGATTCCTGAGGTGCTGGTAGATGGGGGAGGTGGTGAAAGCCTCTTTGCAGTATTGAGGCAACTCAGAGCAGAAATGATAGAAATGAAGAAGGAGAGGGAGAAAGAAGCTCTTGAGCTTTCGACTTTGAGAAGAGAAAATGCCAACCTAAGGGAAGAAATAAGAACGCACATACCTTCTCAAACTACACCCCTCGCCCAAGAACAGGGGGAGTCCTCAGCGTTACAAGAGAAGCCAAGGGTGGTCCAGCAACTTGGAACCCAATCTGACCGAGATGATGTAGTAAGCCAAAGCCCGTTTGCTCATCATATCTTGGATACCAAGCTACCTGACAACTAAAGAGGTCTAACAATAGAAAAGTATGATGGCATATCTTATCCCCGGGAACATTTGGATATTTTCACAACCAAGGTCAGTCTGTATACAGAAAATGATGCCTTATAGTGTAGGATATTCCCCATTTCGCTTCGAGGACCGGCCTTTAGTAGGTTTACCAGACTACCCCTTTTGTCCATTGATTATTTTGCAACCCTCACCAGACGATTCAATTTACAGTTTGCTACGAGCCGACCCCCCCTGACATCTATAGCACTCGTCAATATTCGTCAGGAGAAAACGGAGACACTTAAAGCGTTCATGGAACGCTTTGGCAAAGTAACACTTTCAATCCATAATTTGGAACCAGTCGTGGCCATGCACCATCTCACAACGGCTCTTGGACCAGGACCTTTTATTAATAGCATATCTAAAACACCACCCATGGACCTAGATGAATTAAGGAGTAGGGTTGCAAAGTATATGCAAATGGAGGAGTTAGCCAAGTACCGAAATCAAGTCCGAATGGACCAGGGGTCCAATTCAAAAGATATGAATAAAAGCGAAACTTTCAAGTCTTTGCAAGAGAACAAAGATAGAAGAAATGATGTTGAGAGGCTGCCGAGAGGATGCAAGTATTCGTCATATACAACCCTTAACACTAACCGGTCTAGGGTGCTCGACCAAGCTTTAGCAGCAGAAATATTGAGCATGCCCAACACGCCTCCGGGCAGACAAAAGCAAATCTTGCTGATATCATCGCAATAGAGGCCATACCACAGAGGAGTGCATGGCCCTCAAGGATAAAATCGAAAATCTAATCAAGGAAGAACATCTTCGAGAATTAGTGCAAACAAATCCTTCCAATCATGCTGAAAGGGGTAGAGACCGCTACCCCGAAACAACGGAGTTGGTCAAGAGAGCCCCCTGTCAAACAATATGACGAACGTGAAAAATATTCCAAAAGGGTTATTAACACCATAGCCAGTGGGTTTGCAGGTGGAGGGCCCACCAATTCGGCCAGAAAGAGACATCTGAGACAAGTCCGATCTGTCAACAATATATTGCTGGGTAGTAGAATAAGGATCCCCCCATAACATTCACTAACGAGGACTTTCAGGGGGTAGATCCTGTGCAAGATGATCCTATGGTTATAAGTGTTGATATTCTCAATTGCACATTCTAAAAAACTCTAATCGTCCAAGGGAGCTCGGCCGATATCCTCTATTGGAACACATTCAAACAACTGGGATACCAGAAGAGGAACTCAAAGAATATTACGAGCCACTAATCGATTTTTTTGGGGAGTGAGTAGAGACCCGTGGGTGTATCGACTTGTATACCTCGTTTGGATCAAAACACGAAGGAAAACGCATTAAGGTCACTTACCTGGTGGTACATGCAAATACTTTGTACAATATACTGCTCGGTCGGCCGTCCCTCAATAAACTGAAGGTCATAGTCTCCACTCCACACTTGGCTATGAAATTTCCATCAGAAAAGGGTCGAATAGTTACGGTCCACGCTGATCCGAAGACTGCCAGAGAATGCTATTTCGCAAGTCTACGCCTAAAACCGCTCCAAGGATACAAACGAGATGTCAATATCATATCTCCTCAGTTAGGAGAAAACCTGGATATTGAGTTGGACCCTAGGATTGATGAGGGGTGTTGGGTCGAACCCAGTGAAAATAAGCAACCTTTCCAGTTAGGAACGAACCTTGAACAGGTCACTTACCTGGGCGTCAGCTTGACTGCACAAGAGAGGCAAGACCTTCAGAAAGTCTTGCTACAAAATGTTGATTTATTTTCCTGGTCGGCTTCCGACATGCCAGGCATAGACTCAAAATTTCTCTGTCATCATCTATCGGTTTATAAGGGGGCCAAACCGATAGCACAAAAAAAAAAGGAAGATCAGAGGTGATAGAGCGAAAGCGGTGAAGGAGGAGACTAGTAAACTGCTACAAGCTCGCTTTATCCGAGAAGTAAGATATTCCACCTAGTTGGCCAACGTAGTTATGGTCAAAAAGGCCAACAGCAAATGGCAAATCTGCTCTGACTTCACAGACCTCAACAAGGCATGTCCAAAGGATGCTTACCCTCTTCCAAACATCAACACCTCAGTGGACGATGCAACAGGCCACAGAATACTTAGTTTCTTGGACGCATACTCTAGATATAATCAGATTCGGATGTATCTCCCAGATGAGGAAAAGACGGCATTTTTCACGGACTCGACGAATTTCTGTTACCGAGTAATGCCCTTCAGTCTGAAAAATGCAGGAGCAACTTATCAAAGGTTGATGAATAAAATTTTTGAAAAACAAATAGGGAAGTGCATGGAAGTATACGTTGACAACATGGTGGTCAAATCCATTTCCTTGGAACAACATCTCGCTCATTTAAAGGATGTATTCGACGAAGCAAGGCAACATGGGATGCGATTTAATCCTAATAAGTGCACATTTGGAGTAGCCGGGGGCAAATTTCTAGGGTTTATGCTATCGGAAAGGGGGATCCAAGAAAACTCTGATAAGTGCCAAGTCATCAGTGAAATGACCAGTCCTCAGAATGTCAAGGAGGTCCAAAGACTTGCCGGCCGGATTGTTGCCCTCGCCAGATTTCTGCCTATAATGGCAGAAAGGTCTCGACCTTTCATTGATCTGCTTAAGAAGTCGCAAAAATTTACTTGGTCTGATGAATGTGAGGCAGCTTTTCTCTAGTATAAATATATGTTAGCAGCACCGCCTATGTTGACGAAATTGAAACCAGGACAAGATATGATTATTTACTTGGCGGTATCAGATAATGTCATTAGCTCGGTCTTATTACAAGAAACACCTGAACTGGCCCCAGTATACTTCATCAGTCGAACACTCCAAAACCCCGAGACCCGGTATCAGTTGATGGAAAAAGTAGTGCTTGCTCTAGTCCATATGGCTTGTCGGTTAAGACATTACTTCTAAAGCCAGCGGGTGGTGGTGCATACTAACTGCCCACTGGCCAAAATTTTGAGAAAACTAGAGCTAGCTGGTCAGTTGGTGGCATGGACAATCGAGTTATCCCAATTTGATATCCATTTTGAAAACTGGCGCCCACTTAAAGGTTAAGTTCTTGCAGATTTTGTCAATGAGTTCACCACCCATGACCAGACCAGCACAGATATGTGGAACCTACATATAGATGGATCGTCAAACCGACAAGATTGTGGAGCAGGAATTATATTAGAAGGATCAAACACTGTAATGATTGAACAATCCATTCGGTTTGCATTTAAAGCATCCAACAACCAGTCTGAGTATGAGACATTGCTGGCCGGCCTCAAGTTGGCAAAGAAAATTGGAGTCAAACGCATCACTTGTTGGAGTGATTCAAAGGTAGTGGCCGAACAAGTCAATGAAACTTTTCAGGTGAAGGACTCAGTTATGCTAAAATATTTTCAAGAACTCAAAAATATTGAAGGAGAATTTGACGAAGTATGTGTTCGGTATACACCAAGGACAATGAACGAACAGGCTGATAAACTTGTTAGGCTTGCTAGTCAAAGAAAACTAGGTCGTGTGATTCACCAAGAGATTCATAAACCCAGCATCTCTAAGCATGAATGCATGGAAATTAAAGACTTGCCTCAAAATTGAATGACCCCAATCATTCACTATCTCACTAATAATAGCTTGCCTAGTGATCCAACATTAGCCAAGAAAACGAGAATGCAGGCTGCCAAGTACATCCTTCTCGGTACAGAATTGTACAAAAGAGGAATTTCAACACTCATGTTGAAATGTCTTGATGAGAATCAGGCCGGTTATGTGATAAGGAAAATTCATGAGGGCATTTGGGGTACCTATTCGGGTGAACGAACCATGGCAGCTAAAATTCTGAGAGCCAGATACTTTTGGCTGACACTATCTAAAGACTGCGACATCTTTGTAAAGAAGTGCATTCCTTGTCAGCAACACGGCCCCCACATACACCAACATGCCGACACCATCCATCCCATCACCTCACCATGGCCCTTCACCATTTGGGGAATGGACCTTCTCAGACCTTTTCCCTTGGCAAAGGGACAATGTAATTTTTTTATCATAGTCGTGGATTACTTTACCAAGTGGATTGAAGCAGAACCACTCTCCACCATCACAGCCAATAACGTGCAAAATTTCACATGAAAAAATACAATCACATGATTCGGCATACCTCATGCTCTGATAACAGATAACGGACTACAATTCACGGATCGACGATTTAATGAATTTCTGGAAGGACTGCAGATCAAACACAAAGTCACATCTGCTGAACATCCTTAGACTAATGGACAGGCCGAGGCTGCAAACAAGGTCATTTTACATGAACTTAAAAGAAGATTAGGTTCGGCAAAAGGAGAATGGGCAAAAAAATTGCCCAAGATCTTATGGACTTATCAATGTACACCACAAACAACTACAAAGGAGACACCTTTTCGGTTAACATATGGTACTGATGTCATGGTGCCGGTCGAGATTGGAGAGCCATCATTTCGAAGACAACACTTTGACGAATCAACTAATGACGAATCCCTAACCATCAACCTTGAATTATTGGATAAAGTACGTGGTCATGCAGCGATAGTGGCCGAGGCCAGCAAAAGGATAATGGCAAGGAAGTTCAATTCAAAAATTAATTCAAGACAATTCTATGTTAATGACTTGGTACGGCGAGTAAAAGGAGAAGCACGTCGGGACTGACAAGAAGGGAAGTTGGCTGCTAATTGGAAAGGACCCTTTCGGGTAACAGCACGGCTAGACAATGGGTCATACAAGCTAAAGACACTTGAAGGAAAGACAATACCGAGAACTTGGAACAACACACATTTAAAGCATTATTTGAGTTAGACACTTGTAATATGTAAACGGTGCACTCTTTTCCTCACCCAGGTTTTGTCCTCTTAAAAGAACGTGAAAAGAAATTTTCCTGAGAAGGTTTTTAACGAGACACATTATCAATAAAATACATCTTCTACAACTATTTGGTTTTTCTAGATTATCACTTGATTTCCCTCCCGAGTACCTCTACTCGGCCAAGGAGGAATCAATCATTAAAATTCCCTCCTAAGTATACCTACTTGGCCAAGGACGAAATAATTATTCCCTCTCGAGTACCCCTACTCAGCCAAGGATGAATCAATCATTAAAATTTCCTCCAAGTATACCTACTTGGCCAAGGATGAAATAATTATTCCCTCTCGAGTACCCCTACTCGGCCAAGGATGAATCAATCATTAAAATTCCCTCCCAAGTATACCTACTTGGCCAAGGACGAAATAATTATTCCCTCCCGAGTACCCATACTCGGCCAAGGATGAGTCAATCATTAAAATTCCCTCCCAAGTACCTACTTGGCTAAGGATGAATTAATTATTCCCTCCCGAGTACCCCTACTCGGCTAAGGATCAATCAATCATTAAAATTCCATCCCGAGTACCCCTACTCGGTCAAAGATGAATTAATAACGACGTATTTACCCGAGCACCCCCTAATCGGTTAAAGATAAAATATCTTTCCAGGTATACTTATTCGGTTAAAAATTATTCACATTACTCGTTAAGGTTGAAATAAATATTCAATACCTTATTGAAAAATCTCTACACAGTATTCTTATCAAACTAATCAGTTTAAGTTATTGTTCTTCATTAGTAGTAGTCGACTAACAAAAAGAGTAGGTAAATAAAATTTGTATTCATCTCCTGAATGGATTACGAAAATTGGGCACTATCGGCCCAGGAATACAAAGACTACAAAAAAGAAAGATTGTTTCTAATTTCCCCCCTCCCCGACATCAGGACGAGGGGCGTTCTTAGTAGTTGGCATTCGGCTAGGGGCCTCGGCATCAGGTTCTACATCATCGTCCACTTCATCATATGGTAAGAACCTCCTGCCGAAGAAGTCTCTAGTTAAATCAAAATGGAAGTCGACTGGCACTTAGAAAAATTCATAGCATTGGGTACAGCATGTTGAAAGCCTGCTTCATGTTCGACAACCATCTTGTCAGAACACTTATTAGAAAAAGCCTTCATTTCAGCCTTAGCCTTTTGCCTTTCTTGAGCCAAGGCTTCTTCCATTTTAACCGATTTAGCTTTTAGAGCTTCTTCCATCTCAGAGACTTGGCCTTTAAAGCCTCCTCCATCTCTTCGTGCTTGGCCCTCAAGGCTTGCTCAGTAGTAAAAAGATGATTCTCCACTATGTTGTAACGATCTTTTATCTGAGCAACCTCATCTTCTAGGATTTTGTTGGTCTCGGCCAGGTTAGACTGAACCTCCTCACTCTCAGCCAGAGCCCTTTGAGAGGAAGAAAACTAACGTTGGACCTTCTCTAATTCTTGCAAGGGCTCCAAAGCCAATCTTCGGACCATCACCATCGCTCGAACTTATAGCTCTGAGTAACACTGCCATAGGGATTTATGGTTTAGAAGGTTGACTATGTTATGCCCTAAACTGGAGGAATCACAGAGCTGGCAGAAGAGCTGCTACTACCTCCCAGCTCAGCAACCCGAGCATGCCTTCCAGACCCATCAACACTAGTTAGTACAGCCGAATGAGAATGTTTTCGCTTTCAGGCTCTTTCTCCTTACCCTTGTCCTTGCGCTTTTTTGGCTGACCTTCGGCAAGAACAAGGTCTCAGGGAGGATTATGAGGCTCGGTTACCTCATTGTCAAGTTGGGGATGGCGATGCTCTTCAATCGACACGTCACCTGGAGTTCACCTTCTCAAACCGTGATGATAGGTCGGCATGTTAACTCCTTTTTGAGCCATCAAACCTACAATATAAACAAAAAGTCAAATTAATATAACTCAATATTTTTGAGCCATCAAACCTACAATATAAACAAAAAGTCAAATTAATATAACTCAATATTCAAACTACACTATAAAAAATGAAGCATACTATCCATATCCAAATGGGGATGAGGAGACTTTAGCAAAAGGATGAACGCTCGGACAAGAAGCTCTTGGGGAAGAGACTTCAAGTACTCCAGGGCCGACAACAAGTCCTTAGGAAAAACGTCATAACAATGAGGTACCCGGGTCCAATAGAATGGGAAAAGTGGGTTGTTTTCGCTATCAAAGAAGTATTTCGTACCTATAGGGTGCACGGTTACTTTGAAGTAACCAGTAAAAGTAACCAGTCTTAAAACCCTTGAAAGAAGAAGCATATGGTTTGAATAAAGGCAGTTCAGGTTGCCTTATTAAGGACACCCATCTCGCCATGTCAGAAGGACGAGTACAAAAAAAATGAAGAAACAGTCCTACACTAGGTTCTATGTAATGAAACCTATAAAGAATTCTAAAGGCTTGTATAGCTGCCCACCCATTCGAATGGAGTTGTGTCGGCGCTACATTGAGAACCCTTAGTACTCCCATTTGGAAGTCGTCAAAGGGTAGTCTTATACCTAATTCTCTAAACATATATTCATATACGAAGAAGGTGTCGGCCATCCCGACACCTCCTAAAAATACTAAGTCAAGATTGTTGGAGCCATCCCCTCGGTAGGTATCGATAATGATAGGGTACAGATCTAAAGATTCCCATAGTGATATATCACAATGGTATACAAAAGATTGGAGATCCCTATTCCTTTGAAAGCGGGAGAAGTAGGCGGCCACTTCACCATGGACCCATTCATAGTCAGGAACTCTGCAAGGAGGGAATACCAGTCTTTCCCTAGAGGGGCTGGCATTCGATAAAGATTAGGTGGTTTCAGAATCCTCAGCAGCACCCGACGGTTCGGCACCATCACTGCATTCCCTAACTATTTATTCTACATCATCCTCCGCCCCACTCGGCCTTGGAGTTCAACAGTAGTCGGCCCCGACGAATTAGACAATGAGTCCTCCCACTTAGCCATTGCTGGCTAAAGAAAAATTAATGAATGACTAAGCATACATTCTTGTAGTAGTCAGAAAAAGGAAGAAAAACTTCTAGAAGCAGTGTATACCACTTAGTCTAGAGCAATAGTATGCACCATTCAATTCAGAGCAAAAAGGTGTAAACAGAGGCCTGAACCACCATGTTTTTATAAAACTAGAGGTGTCGGGCATACGAAGGGTCACATCCCTTCCTAACCGTCGGATCTTTCCCAGATCTACAGATGTGATCAGACACCCTTTCTTTTCAGAGGCACACAAAACAGGGAAACCCTAACAAAAAAAATATCTGACACCCTAAAGTGGCCAAAATCATTATTTATATTATTTATTTTTTAATTATTTTATTTACATCTGAGTTGAACATATAATCGGTTTGTATCTCCTCAGCCTATTTCTCTCCATTAAACCGAATACCCCTTCAGTTTACTTACCTTTCTCATCACAACCGAACACCTCCTCGGTACTCGTATTTCTTAACTGAAACAGAAAACCCTTTTGTCTACATTCCATGGGTAAATATCTTATTAAGCTCTTGTATCGTACCTCTTCAGGCTTGGGAGGCTACACTGTACCGGATAAGACACTACTCGATCTTACTTACAGAAAAAGAGAACTGAGTACTCTCTCGGTCAAGATAAGTTGAATACCCTCTCGGCTAAGATTAAAGGTAATTAATCCAATCAAGGAAAATAATCAAATTATTATATACCTTAATTAAAAGGCCAAAACCAAGGCTGACTTAGCAAGCCTATTAGCCCATAATATTTCCTATAAAACGAAGGTAAAAAATACATGTAAAAGGTTGACTTTTGAATATTTAATAGTATTTATTGCTCAGAATCGAGACCTGACTTTAGCATCAGAATGTCTTTTACAAATACCCTTCCCACGTCAGCAACGTACGGAAGGACGTCATCCTACTCAGACAAAGATCAGAAGATTAGTGTTTCCCTAATAGAAACAAGTGTAATTGATTAAACGTTAATTGTTATATATATATATATAACTGTTGATACTTCAATAGTAACCAAGTCAACAAGAGTCCAGCATGTACTCAACAACGCAATGCTACTGAGCCCCTCTTAATTTCGTGGGGATTTTGTTTGCAAGAAAGTTCATGGAAAAACAAAAATGTTGGATAGGTAAAAGAAGAATACAAAAGATGCTATGCATTAGGTAGAGGGTGAACCATTATCCCTCTTTTAAAATTTATGCTGATGAAAAGGTAGACGAGAACATGGCTTCAAGCGACAATGAAAAAGGAATCCTGCCACAGAATGCCGTTACTAGACTACCAGTAGCTACAAAACCAGTGTAATAGATGAGAACATTTTTAATATATGCTTCAACTGTATAATTATTACTATTCTCATCTACCAGTGTAATAGTTTTTAATAAAAATAATGATGACGGGTATATAAAATTTTGCAACCTTATTTTTTTTAAAACTATTTCACTGATAAAGGTCAAGTGAAAAATAAAACTCACAAGTAAAGCATCGAGGAGAGATAGGTAAATGATAATAGAAGAAAAGTCAACGGGAAATGAGCAAAGCAGAGGCCATGTTAATCCAATGGGTTTGCTTGAACTTTTCATAAGATTTTACCACCCAATGTGTAATTATTGTTCATCAAAGGACCACTTTTTGAGTGATTCACCTTATCAAGACATTAGAAATACATGCAGTAAAGAAAATACTCAGCAATTACAGCGCATCACCTAATAGCTTTATTTTCATTGCATGCAAATTAGTCTTAAAATGGTGACTAGGATTCGTACTCCTAACATCAAAAAGTTTGTTCAAGCTTATAGTTCACTTCTACAGCTACTAACTAAGCTAAGGCTTCTATGATTATTCTATTATATTTATAAGATCACTTTCTCTGTTACTTCTGTGAAAATTGGTTACATACAAAGGAAATTTTTTTTATAATAAAAATAAACACAATACAAAACTAATTTGAAATATGAATCATTGAATGAAACCTATTGATGATTCTTGACTAACATGCGGTTGCCTAGAATAATGAAATAAAATATATAAATATAATCACCACAAAAATTATACAGAACTCGTAAAGGATTGAATAAACAATCACAGCAATTGCGTTTCTCCTGCATCATAATAATGGAGCACATAGTATCAATCTAATTAAGGCCATAAACACAGCAAACCCTACAAGTTCCTCGTCTATCATAAGGATATCCATCGAGATCCGTTTCCATCAATTGCTCAATGTGTAGCATAAGTCTATCCTCGAAATCAAACTCCTGCAAAGAATATAATGACCCCAACTCATGCTTTTCTTTTTACTGATTCTCTTTCTATTGAATCGTTTCTGCTGATCATATACATGCTACAGAGCTCTGACATTAATATATGGGTAAGCTATTTGTGCCCTGCATTTCCGTATTTGATTCCTTGCAAGTTTCTTGTTCAATGTTGACCAAAGCAGCAGAAATACTTTGCTTCGGTTATACCTTGGTAGTTTTCATTAATCCTGCAAGGACAACAATCCTTCTACTGAAGAGAGATGCATCAAATGATTATTTCCAGATGCTCTCCAAGAAATTGAGCGTTTCCAGATAAGTTGCCACAAATTAAGCTATCCATTGAGCCAACAATACGTGCAGGTGCAGGACAACCATATACAAATTAAGTATCAAGCTTATTTTCATCCAACAGAAGCATAAGTTCATCCTGGTGTACAATCTTTGCATTTTTTCCTTTCTCCACAACCAAAACACCTTCTGCTACTCTTTCATCTTCAACTTGAAGCTCTGATATTAAATTTCTGTCTATCATAGCAGAATTACATGTGTCCACTAAACTGCATTTCTGAAACTTGACATTTGGATTCAAACAACTTCGAATGAAAGTGTCAGAGGTTTCTGCATTTACATAGTGAGATGAAGGAATGCATATGGTTTCATTATTCGCAGGATCATAACATTGAATCCCCAATTCAGAATGAATTTTTTCTTTGAGAGAAGCCATCTTAGGCTTCTCCCCATGCACAAGTATAACATGCTTTGGGGAGAGAAATTTTACAAGATCCATTATCCCTTTAGAATCAGTGTGAGGACTAAAAGCCAATTGATGAACCTGTCAATTAAAGATGAGTCAAAATGTGGAAATATTTATAACCTGTCAATTATCCCTTTAGAAATTTTACTTGTATATGCTGCTAACACTTTTATCTACCCAGGTGGAATATCTATAAGCTGAAGTTCATAAAAACACCGATTTTGATATATCTCCCTATAAATTAATGGATTGGAGGGAAAATGTACCTGGCAACGGACATCTATTTGTGTATCAGGATCCAGATCAATTTTGGTTGGCTTACCTGACATTAATTTATGACCTATTGTTCCTGCAACACAATACCTACAAGAGTAACAAAGCAATGTATTACTATTAATAGAACACAACTGGTATGTGTATATCAAAATAGGGATTTGGCCCCTCTAAAGTGAGCAAATGTATAAAGTGAGAAAGTAAAGGAACATTCACCATAGATTTAAAGTTAACTAAGATTACGATGCACTTCAATTGAAATCAATAGTACATGCACCTTTATTTTCTTACTTTAAACATTCACTTACTTTAGAGGAGCTAAATCCATCAAAATGGAACAAATCACCACATTTGTTTGGTACATTTTTTCTTGAGAAGAAAAAGAATACTGTGAAAAATACAGAAAAGGAATGAGGAAGGACAGCCTCTTCATACTCAAAATAGGTTGTGAAAGTGTAGAAAGACAAGGCCACAAAATGAAGAAAGATAAGAGAAAAAAAGCCACAAATGAAGAAAGATAAGAGAAAAAAACCAAAGTTCATATAGTTTGTGAAATTAGCAAACACCATCCTCCATATTTTTATGGCAGATTTTGGCTTGCCATCATCTGCCAACTTTTTGTCCCCGTCTTTCCATTTTTTTAACTTATTTATTAAAACCACTACTTTCTACAAATTCTGCTATTTTATTTTTTATAGTTTTAATTTCCTTCTGTTATAATCTATTACAATATTGTAAATATAGTAACTGTATATTTTTGTAATTATGTACTCTTCCCTATAAAATTGAATAGCTCCGCTGTGCCTTAAACAAACAGATTCATTCTAATGTTTCTCAATATTTCCTCTCTCAACATAGTATCTAGAGCCTAAGAAGAGGCAACCCTAATCTATGTTTTCTCGGTGGACCCACTGTTGACTAGCGCCAATTTTTTTTTCGAAAACCGTTACATCTCCGGTTTCTGACATTTCATCCACCTGTTCCGGCGCCACTACCACCGTCTAACCTCCGATCACTATGGCAATCCCACAGTTGTAGTTGCCTTTGTCAGATTGACCAACGCCGCTGACCTTGTGCCCTTGTAAGAGTCCTCACGCACCCCCACACACCGCCCTCCTATTTGTTGCGATTTCTCATGTGCCAACCTCTCTCTCGTGCATGACGCCGTTGACTGGGGTTTGCTCACCCCTCTCTCCTCTACATGTATTTGGTCTCGGTTGGTTGTTTGGACATCTATTCGCCCTTATTTTGTCCTTTTTGCTGTTGTTTGGGCATTTTTTCTCTCTCTTCTCGCTTACCAATGGCTACCTTCAACACTCCAAAACCTGACACTCAAATTTTTACCAACCATGTCATTACACCTCTCTCTTCTGAGCAATTGGATGGTAAGCACTACTCCTCTTAGGCTTCTCACATTGAACTTCGCGCTTGTTGGACAGGGTTATGAGACACATCTCACCTTAACAGCAGACGATGTCTCGGAGGCCGACCGTCCTCTGTGAAAAAAGGTTGACGCTTAATTGTGTTGTATCATCCAAGCTACCATTCACCCATCTGTTCGTGATGTCTTTCGCACTCACAAAACCTGCAAAGCTGTTTGGACACAGGCCCAACAACTTTTTACAAAAAATTCCTGGCAACTCTACCAAGTTTGTGAAGACCTCATGACTATCCTTAGTGCCCATCAATTTAAGGATTTTATTTTGACCTATCTTGGCTCGGTGTCTAGCCTTCTTTATGAGTTCAACGAATTGTTTCCTCCTGCTACCACTCCAGTTGCGAAACTTGAAAATTTCAAGAAGTTTTTCATATCCTCGGCTTTATATAGTCTGCCCACAGAATATTCTCATGTTCGTGATCAGATCTTGGGTAGCCTCACAAAAGCTACTATGGATAGTATCTGGGCAACTCTCCTTCATGTTCCCCCCAAAGCCTCCTCTTAGCCTTTGCTTCCTATTCCTGTTGACTCTTCTACTTTGGTTTCTCGCAACACCAACCGACCTACACAGCGAAAGGGCAACAAAGGACGTCCCTGGTGTGATCATTGCCACCAACCGGGACACACAATTGATAAGTGTTGGACTCTACATGCTCAACCTCCTCGCACTGCACAGGTGGCTCAAAATTTTGTGTCTCCTTCGTCAGCTTCTGCTTTGCCGTTGGCTTTGGATCCAAATTCATCACCTTCCTATGATGATTTCATGAAATGGTATGAAGATCGTCAGGTCTCTAGTTCCACTGCTGCTGTTGCACACATTGGCAATTCCTTTGTTGGCCACTCTTACTCCTCAGGCCCTTAGGTCCTTGACTCTCGGGCCATCGATCACATCAGTAGTAACAAATCCCTTTTTATTTCTTTTTCTACTTCTGGTTATTTACTTTCTGTTACAATGGTAAATGGCTCTCAAACTTAGTCCCAACAAGGTGTTGGTGTTGTTCATTCTCTTTTTTCTCTTTCTATTCACAATGTCCTTCATGTCCCCAGGACTCCCTTTAAATTATTGTCCATTAGTCAACTAACTCGATCTCTTGATTATGTCATCTCTTTTACCAAAAATTCTATTTCCTTGCAAGACCGGATTATGGGAAGGACGATTGGCTTCGAATGTGAGTCTCGTGGCCTCTATCAGCTCAACAAGCCTTCTCTTGTTGGTTCGGCAGCAACATCTCCACTTTTAATTCATGCACGATTAGGACATCCAGGTCTTTGATAAGTTGAAACAATTTATACCCTAGTCTTTCTAAGTTAGAGTCTTTGTCTTGTAAGTCATGTCAATTAAGAAAACATTTTCGTAATTCTTTTTCTAGTTGCACTGAGTCCGACTTTGTCCCTTTTTATTTTAGTTCATACAGATGTTTGTGGTCCAAGTCCAGATATTTTGTTACCTTTATAGACGATTTTTTCAGTTGTACTTAGTTATATTTAATAAAAGAACGTTCAGAAATTTTTTCAATTTTTCAATCTTTTTTTATGAAATAAAAAATCAATTCAGTATCCCTATTCGTACTTTACAAAATGATAATGCATGTGAGTATTTGTCTACTTAGTTTCAAACCTTTATGGTATCTCATGGGTTTTGCATCAAACATCTTGTCCTCGTACCCTCCAATAGAATGGAGTTGCATAACACAAAAATAGGCATCTATTTGAGACCACCCGAACTCTTCTTCTCCACTCATGTTCCTCATCAGTTGTGGGGTGACGCAGTACTTACTGCGTGTTATCTCATTAGCCACATGCCTTCTTCTATTCTACAAGGTAAAATCCCTCATCAAGTTCTATATCCTCACCACTCTCTTCATCCTTTACCACCTCGAGTCTTTAGTTCTACATGTTTTGCTCCTGCTCTTGGTCCTAGCATTGACAAGCTCTCTTCTCGGTCTTATAAGTGTATTTTCCTCGAGTACCCACAATCTCAAAAAGGATACAAGTGTTATTCCCCTACTCTTCACAGTTATTTCATCTCTGCTAATGTTACTTTCTTTGAGTCCATTTCATTCTTTGGGCCTACAACACCTACATTCAAGTCTTCTCTGTCCACGACTACACCTGTTTCAATCATTTTTTGTCCTCAAGAGGAGTCTCCATCCCCTCCACACCCATCTCATATATTGCAACCACCGAACGCTAACACCACCATAGACTCACCTTTAGAGCCACCTCTTTCGCCTCATCTTTCGATCCTGCCTTCTGACCCTGACATTCTCATTGTCCTTCGAAAAAGTATATGTTCTACTCGTAATCCTTCTCCTCATTATATTTCTTTAAGTTATCATCATCTTTCTCCTTCCTATTATTCCTGCCTTTCTTCCTTGTCCTTTGTTTCTATTCCTAAGAGTGCAGGTGATGCCTTTGACCATTCAGAATGGCAACAAGCTATGCTAGACGAGATGTGTGCATTATAGAACAATGGAACTTGGGACCTCGTTCCGCTACCACCAGGGAAGTCAGTTGTTTGTTGTCAGTGGGTGTATACGGTCAAGGTTGGTCTAGATGGCAAGGTTGAATGGGTTAAGGCCCGTCTCGTCGCCAAAGGCTATACTCAAATCTTCAGATTGGATTATGAAGACACTTTTTCTCCTATGACCAAATTGCCTTCTGTGTGACTATTCCTGTCTATTGTTGTCATACATCATTAGCCTCTCTATCAGTTGGATATCAAGAATGTTTTCTTATATGGTAATCTGCTCAGGGACATGTCCTAAAGATCCTACAGAGGCAGTGACATGGACATTAGAAAACAAGCGAATTCTTGCATTAATGGTCAATTTTGTTGATAGGCACACATAGATAGTGATTACACATTGCAACACCATGAAGGATCTGTTGGATATTCTCAAATTTATTTATGAAAAATCTGACAATCTGAATTGGCTATAAGCCCTTATGCAAGAAATCTATCGCCTAAAGCCTCCAAATAAGGCAAGAGGAAGTAGACGAACTACTTTCGGAGTTCAAGAAATACACTGAAAAGATGCAGTCTCTATTAGCCTGCAAGATCATTGAAGAAATGCTCGCTCAACAAAAGAAGCTTATTGCATTGAATTGACTTTCTGTACTTGATTCGGAGTATGAAGGAGTGCGGTCCCAGATTTTGTCATGTAAGTAGGTTGACAATCTCACAAATGTCTTGTCTAGAGTTATGCAGTCCTCTTTTGAGGAACCTAGAGGGCCTATCTCCGAAGCACATGTATGCAAAATTAGGGAACGTATTAGTACCGGGTACGTATCCGGTACCGGTACTCATTGGGTACTCGTTGGGTACGCACCCGATATGTACCCGGTACATATTAGGTACTTCTTGGATACATTTTCGGTACACGTATCTATTAAAACGATGTTTTTTGGTTATTAATACTCTATTTTTCGATTTTCTCTTTTTATGATTTTGTGCCCTAAATCTCAAACCCTTACTTGAGAGAACGTGTTGTTGTACACCCCCAAGCATCCCTGAGTTACAGCAGTTGGCGGAGGCAACGCAAATTAGAGAACTGGCAAGCTCTTCCGCAGAAGTAAGGCAGCTAGTAGACCACCTCAGTGAGCAAGCCAAAGAGGTGGCCAGTGAAGCTTCAATGGAAAGAACACTCAG